AGATTTTCATCTATGCAAAAATATCGAAGTTGAAAAGGGCATCATTAGTTACAAAAGTGATAAGTGTCGAATCAGCTTTAATGGTCACCTGCAGAAGATTATCACCTGTACAAAAAGCCACGTCCCATTTTCCACTTTTGTTCTCTGCTTTATGATAGCACTGTGTAAGACGACCATTTAGATTGGCACCTTAGGTATTTCCAACTGCTTTGGGTTTGTTGGTTTTTTATTCGTGGAACATATTATATAAGAAGTGTCCAAATCAGCATTTTTAAACGAAGGATTAAAGTTATTAGTTGTACAAGTAAAAGCAACGAGGTTTTGTGGATATAAATGTCTGTTCTCAAAATCTCTTTTTTTTTTCTTCTAAATGCACTTGAATTGGCCACCATGACAATCACAATCCCTTAAATCCACTCCTCCCCTTGGGTATTTTTGTTTAATTATTTCTTGAAATGACACTCTACAAGACGTCCACCTGACTAAGAAAACCACCTTGCACCTCGAAATAGGTGGCCGGCCGTCTTGGACAATTACAAAGATATTACGTTTTTACTTCATAGCTGCGATAGGGTCGATGATAGGTAAGATAAATTTTTACATAAGCAAATTAGTCACGTCCTTTTACTTTATATGGCGCATATCCACGCTCTACAGCTTGTTCCGTGCGCTTTACAACTACGTGTAACTACCCTAAGACACTCAGAAACATTCTCGGCTTCCCAGAAAGCATACTGTGGCCTAGTGGTTAGGCTCTCGGACTCGCAAACGTAAGGTCGTGGGTTCGAATCCCGTCAGGGGCCCGACGTTGTGTCCTTGGGAAAGGCACTTTACACGAATTTTCCTCACTTCACCCAGGTGGGAATGGGTACCCGGCTATAGACAGCGAAAGATCTTGTCAGTTTGTTAGTGTTTGAGCGCTTAATCGGCTGCTTGCACTGTATGCTTCTCGGGAAGCTGAGAATGTTTCGGAGTGTTCTATGGTCTGCTGGGGTAATAATATAGTGTAAAGCGCATAGAGCCTGCTGTTGAGCGGGGATATGCGCTATACAAATGCTATCTATTATTATTATTATTATTATTATTATTATTATTATTATTATTATTATTATTATTGTTATTATTACTAGTGCAAGGTACTGATTTCACAAGCTCAAACACTAACATACTGACAAGATCTTTCAATGTCTATAGCAGGGTACCCATTTCCACCTGGGTGAAGTGAGGAAAATTCGTGTAAAGTGCCTTTCTCAAGGACACAACATCGGGTCCCAGGCAGGATTCGAACCCACAACCGTAATGTTGTGAGTCTGAAAGCCTACCCCATTAAGCCACCTATTGAAATTTGGGAGCGTGGTCTTTTTACAGGTGATAACTGACTGTGCTTCGAAAGTTCTAGAGAAAGCAGAGTCTGTTGTGGAAGAGAAAGACTACAAACCAATGATCAACATCGACGCTTTGCCTGGTATGGACTCTGGCCATGAGGCTGACCACACCCTCCCACCGCCCACAACCAACGGACACGCCACATCTGATGGTTATCGCAATGGACACGCCACATCTGATGGTTATCGCAATGGACATCAAAATGGAGAAGGTGCAGTTGAAGACCAAAAACATTTCCCGGCGATGAATGGACAAGGAAAAAGCGTTGCCCAGGCTGTGAATGGGGTGTCGGAGAGACAGGGAGAAATGAGGACAACCCACAGATGAATCTCTTTTGTGAGAACTGAGCAAGGCCATAATATACAAGATCCATTCCATTATTTTATTTTTCAGAAGGGGTGGGGGAGTGATTTCGGGGGTAGGGTTGGGGGGGGGGGGGGGTTAATCCATTGATGATGTAATAAGCTCTCAATCAAAACGTATGTTTAGTATTTGAAAACTATTAAATTATTAAATTTGTTTTTGTACATTTATTGTTATACCCTAATTTCAAATCTATAACGGCGTCATCTTCTGAATGGAAAAAAATAATACTATAACGAGGCAGTTTCTTTTTCCTTGAAGTTGAAAAGATGTGACTTCTTAAAAGAATGGCCGGTTACACAATTATAGCGTGGTTTTTGGTTAATTTGTGGAGTTTTTAGGACTTTCCACCTAATTTGATTCGGTCCTATCGGAGATGGGCGTTAAATCTAAAGGTTCCGTCTCTTAAATTACTCTACTGTGTTGGAAAGTTGCCGTAAACATATGCAATGACAATGATGAATAATGAATAATGTGTTGTGGTTGTTGTGTTTTCAACACCAGAAAGGTTACGTTACGGGTATATCTATGTAAATAATGCTGCCGATGGTTTCTTCTTCTTCCTCTTCTTCTTCTTCTTCTTCTTCTTCTTCTTCTTCTTCTTCTTCTTCTTCTTCTTCTTCTTCTTCTTCTTCTTCTTCTTCTTCTTCTTCTTCTTCTTCTTCTTCTTCTTCTTCTTCTTCTTCTTCTTCTTCTTCTTCTTCTTCTTCTTCCTTTTCCTCTTCCTCTTCCTCTTCCTCTTCCTCTTCCTCTTCCTCTTCCTCTTCCTCTTCTTCTTCTTCTTCTTCTTCTTCTTCTTCTTCTTCTTCTTCTTCTTCTTCTTCTTCTTCTTCTTCTTCTTCTTCTTCTTCTTCTTCTTCTCCTCTATGTAAATAATACTGCCGATGGTTTCTTCTTCTTCTTCTTCTTCTTCTTCTTCTTCTTCTTCTTCTTCTTCTTCTTCTTC